CTATGAGCAAAGCACTAGCATGCCTTTCCCCACCCCCAGAGAAGAAAATGGTTAATACCAACTTTGCAACATTGGCCTGCAGTATGAGGGAGCAGTGCAGCTGTGGTTAAATGTGTCTAAATTAGTCATCTGCAGACTCTTAAATCCATGAAAATGAATAGAGAGCTCTTATCCATTATACCAAAATGCACAGGTTGTTTTTGAAGGTGATTGTTATTAAGTAGGGAAGGAACACTCCCATAAAGTAGAAGTGAAATTTTGGAGGGTAAGTTTGTATTTAACTGAGCCTTGAGGCTGTGTACTAGTTTGTTGTGTTGAACCTGGCTTTTGGTTCCCATGTGGTTTTACCTCTGCATGTTTTGAGTAGCATTTACATGCTAATTTAATATTTAAAAAAATATTTTATTTTATTTTTGGTTTCTGCCTCTTTGGGGTTTTCATGCGATTCGATCTTTGTTTACTTTCTGGACTCTAAGATTAGTTCTGATGGACCCTTACTTTCATCAGTCTTTCTGTCATCGTGTCTCTGAACGACAGACTGTCAACTGATTTTTTCCAGTTAGCTGTATGTAGCATTCTGTTTGAATCATGTATCATTGTGAATCCAAATCATAGTGATAACAGACATGCAGCTAAATGTTTGAGGCAGATACTCTTAAATTATCAGCAAAGCACAAGAGGCTTGTATGTATGAGCAGTTTAAAAAACACTTGTTTGTGAACACCTACTTTCAGTTTCTTTAGCACAAAGAGCTTTGTATGTTTTGAGGTCAGTGTCCTTTATTGGATCTTGGGATGCTGATCCATCACTTCTTGTTCAAAGTGCTTTCTTTGTGTTCATGGTTTACAGTGAAATCTTCCTATGCTCATTACTTAGATAAAATTCTATTAACTGAATTGCTTTCTTTCCCATCTTTTTTTCTTCCTCTCCCCACATAAAAAGACCCTGACCTTAAAAACATCAGTTGATCAGCTGCTTAAAACCAACTAACTTCACATTGCTTGAAAATCAAGATATGGTTCTGTTCCAACCCACTTTCCTCTTGGAAGTTGCTGGCTGGTTTGCGTGGGTCAGATGGAGACATCTGGAAACTGTTATTTGTCATTTGAGTAATTGTAATCTACTTGATTTCATCTTTTGTAATATGGAGCTGTATGCGTTTTGCATCATGTTTTAAGACCCCTGTATGATTTAAAAATATCACTGTTCTGCTGCAAAGTCATCTTCATAAGTGAAGTACTCTGCAGTGGTTATGGAGAAAGTAACCTGGGGAGAAACTGAACTATGTGGATGCTGGAATAGTCCCACCGTAAATGGTTTGGGGATCTGCATGAGCATTTTGTTTATGTAAAGCCAGCAGCAGGAGGTGTTTGAGTAGCTGTTTATAGCTTGTATAGTAAGCTTGTGTGCTGGATTTTATCATGTGGCAATGAGACATCCTTTTTCTGATCTAGAAGCTAGTGGTGGTGTAAATGTTGACTGCTAGTATTTTATGGTTTGGTTGGAAGCTTGTTTGATCAACAGTCAGGATACCATCAGTGATGTAAGCAGTTCTTTGAAAGATAAGCACTTCAGTAATGCATCTGTTGCTAAATAAGAAGATAAGTTGTTTACTTGTTGCAAGACCATGGTGTCTTTCCAGACTTTTAGCTCTTTTTTCCTCTCTCTCTGACAGCCAACTGCCCAGTTTCCCAGGTTACATTCAACAGTGGTATATTTCCACCTTCAAATCCAAGGACTGCTCTGTGAGCTCTTTTCCTGTTTTCGTGGTGTTATTTGTGGAAAAGAAGCAGACCAGAGTGAGTTTTCAAAACATGCTCCAATTATGTCAAGTTGTCATTGCTGCAGCCTCTGCAGAGTAACTCTTGAACTCTTCAGGCTGTGCTCCACTCTTAAGTGGTTACTTTTCGGCTTCAGCCCTTTGAAGCTTAGGAGTTGTGCTGATGTAACTCTAATAAACAGAGTTTACTTTTGATTTTAAGCTGTAAGCCAGCGTGTTTGTGTATTAGCCTTTGCTTGTAAACACTTTATAATTTAACATCTGATTTGTTTGCAGTACTCATTATCAGAGCCTTGAAACCCAGCATTCTCCTCAAGGAGAGTCTTCTGTGCACGTTATCATTGGAAAGGATAATCAAACTATGTATATTTAATTGTGAATTATTTTCCTGCAATATATAGCTTCCTTTTAAGATCTAGGCAATGTTTTGCATTGGCATTTTATTAATAAATAATTTACTGTTGGTCATCTTGTTTTTTTTCGGCACTTAGAGATGGCATGAAATTAGAATGTCTTCTTTGCAAAATAAGCTTTTATTATTGGCTTTTTTAGGGGATATACTTGTTTTCTGGACTTCATTCAGAATCTGATAGAGATTTGTTCTAGACAGAATTAAGATCCTGGCAGTTGGTCATCTTGGGACTGACTGCTGCAGGAAGGAAAGGACTTTCATTGGAGTTCAGTACCTTGCAGTTGCTGTGTTTCTCTATATTCAACCATGAGACTAAGAAAAATTCTTTGTTATCAACACAGAAAAAGATACTACAAAGTCAATATTGACTTTACTATTTAGGGCTTGATTGCTTTTCTTAATTCCCTCCTAAAACTTGTTGTTCTCTCCATTGTATAATAAGCAAATTTGAAAAGCAGGCTTCATCTGTGGGGGGGATAATGTGATGCCCTGTAATTCCACATTCCTAGCTGAGAGGCTGTATTTTCTATTAAGAGGGAGGATTATTCAATAATTGAAGTACGTGGCTGAGCAACAAGATCCAGCTTCTCCCCCTGGTTCTGCTGGGGGCTCTGAATATGGGTAACTTGCTTAACTTCTTACTTACTGATGAAAAAGATGACACTAATCAGAGACAGTCCAACAGTGAGCAAAGAGTGTTCGCTGAATGAGAGCATCCTGAATGCTCAGAATTTGTAGAATATTAGTAGCTACTGTTTCCAATTTTTTTTTGGTCATTTGCCTGTCAGTGTAAGCATCACACTTTATCAAGTTATACGTACTTTGGCTGAAACAAAGTACTTTGTGTTGCACATACATCCCCAGACAATCTCTGCCATTGAGCTCTTATACTCTCATTAAACAAGTTGGGGGAAGAACAGGTAAAATACGTAAGTAATAGAATGGAGGCAGAATAAAATTTGTAAATGCTGAGAGGTGAATTTACTTACTGATACTCTAAGGAGAAAGATGACAGGAGTAGATGAGAGAGGTGGCAGGCATGGAGTTTTGTAAAAAGGGGAAATGGATTATGGGGTAGTGTGAAGGAGGAGGTTTGGAAGCAGCCTGCAGCCACAGCACTCCAGAGGAAGTCCCCTGAAAACTAGAGGAGGTTTTCGGCCTTACCGTAGGGCCCTGCGGTTGCTCTTGCCAGCTGGAAGCTTGATCTGTGTGTTCTCTGCATGGGTTTTTCTGCAAGGCACAGAAGGAAAGAGCAGGTGGCTACCTATAGCTTCTAGCATGTATGCATCTATCTGCATGATACACAATCTCAAGGAATAAATCGCTATTTTAGATCTTTCCTGAGTGTTTCTCAGCTGCTGCTTTTTGACCTCCCTTCTGCCCCCCAGAACCTTTATCTCTTCACTCCTGTTATAATCAGCTTTGATTATTCTCCTGCCTCTTTTTTTTAACGTACATTTATTTTAGAGATACTAATTTCTTGGTAATACCTAATGAGAATCTAACAGAAAATTTTGTTTGTTTGTTTATATGCTTTTTTTCACAGAACTGATACACAACTAATTCCGAGTGGTCAGGGGAAAATGATTTTTTTTCCTTACTATCTTACATTGTCAGTGCCAGTGTGTTAATGGATTGATTTGTTTGTTTTCTTTGGGGTACAGTTTTGCTCAGTAAGTAAACTTATGTACTACTGCAAATGCCTGCTGTCTCAGGTTAAAAAACTTGCACTGAAATGAGGAGTTTCCTCTAAGTGGAACTGCAGTATACAGTTCTAAATGAAGTCAAAGCACAGGATATGTGTCATGTGTGTGGTCTGTGAGGGGAGCGTATACTTTTTCTGGGATTTATCAGATATAGAAATAATTCTAAGAAAGATTTTTTTTTTTTAAGAATTGTTCTTTTCCTTAATAATTTGGTAGTGTATTCCTACTGCAGTTCTGTTTGATACTTTGTCTTCAGACCAAAAAGCAAAATGTTTTGGGGGGTTACTTTACTCTTTGAATTCAAGCCTCTGTTATATAGGATAACTAAATCCTGGACACAGGTAGTAGATAAGAAAAAACAAAAGCAAATCCCATTATTGATAAGGGTAGTTCGGAGCACACTGTAAACAGTCAGGGAAGCCTCTGCAGAAGTTAGCCCAGGGCTGGACACAGGTGTGTTAGTGTTGGTAGTACTTTAAAAAAAACACTGATGAGACTTCAGTTAGGACAACCTTACAAAAGCTCCTTAATCTGATTTTTATGTTACTGCATTTTGGGTTAGATTTTAAAGGTACTCAACTTACCTATTTTTTTTTCCCTTTTAAGTATAATTTTCCAACTAAATCTTCCTTGTTTAAAGTAAGTAGTTCAATGAAGCAATCCATTGTTGAAATTTCAGTAATTTGTAGTTTATACTGTGTCTTCTAATGCAAGTGATTAATTTCTTCCATTTGTTTTCTAAAGTTTTCTGTTACTCATAAATGTCTCTTCAGAACTTTAAAAAAAGAATTATCAAGGTTAAAAAAAACTTTAAAATTGTGAGGAAAAATGGCTGCACTGCACAGTGCTTCTGACATTTTATATGCATGTGCATTTACATTTTATTTTGAAAAGTGAACAAAGATTTAAAGTGTTTTGATATAAAATCTCTTTGGCCTCAGTCTGCCCCAGCATAAGAATTCTGATTCTGTAGGAGTTTCTTTACAAAAGGATTTTTTTCTTTTGCCAGCACAAAAGAGAAAGAGATCTTGAAAATAAAATACTGAGGAAGGATGCTGCAGCTTCACATTTCTGACCTGCTTTTGTGTATTTTTCAATAATTACTCACTTATATAGCATCTTAAAAATGTGAAGTATATCTTGTTTGGTGTGTAGAGTAATATCGGTTTCTTACTGACTATGCTTTCAGGAATATCAAAGGTGTGCATGAAGCTGAGTTTTTCTAGGGGATAGATCTTTGCAAATGGTCTCTACTGTTTCAGAAAAGCATCTGTAACGGCTGGGAAAGTCTTGTTCAAAGTTCACTGGCTTAAGCATTGTTTGATCTATAGACCACAGCTTAAATTCTAGTATGATGAGAGTTAGAGTGTTAGAGAGGGTAAGGTAGCATAATTTCTCACAGCGTTAGGAATAGATTCATGTATTTCACATGCTCTTCCATTGCAGAAGAGAAACAACGCCTTCAATTTTATTTATTTATTTGTTTATTTATAGAAAATGGAATAATCAAATCAGACAAGGTATTTGAAGTAATGCTGGCTACAGACCGTTGCCACTATGCAAAATACAACCCTTATATGGATTCTCCGCAGTCCATAGGTAAGAGCATCTTGCAAAAATGATGGAGATTGTTCTAATTTGCATAACTGTGACTGCGTTTGCCATATGTGTTAAGAATGTGAACATAATTTTTTAAATTTGGAAGCTTGTTTAGTTCTTTATCAGTTATTCAATACCTTTTAACTAAGTTTCAATTTGTTATGTAATGCAATTGGCATACTTGGATACATGAAGTAGACATGTTCTTTAGTTAAAATTAATATGTGTAAATATGTATGTATTTTTTAAACCACAGCAATTTGTGGTGCAGCTGATATTTAAATACTTAAAAATCATTTGTATCCAGTTTACATCAGAAACAGTCTCTCTCTTTACAGAAATGATTCAGTTAGGATCAATGTGGAGTTTCTTAAACCTTTTACATGAGATTTTTTTAATACGAAAATAGGCTTTAAATGGGAAGATCCACTGACAGGACAGTTGTTTAGGATAGTTGTTTCCCATACAGATCCCAGTTTTATCTTTCCAAGGCAGGAGAATGAATTATGCAAATGTACTAATTTCCCCCCCCCCATTAATAGTGGGTGGTGAGAACTATGAATTGTAATGGGATTTTATTATTTGTATAGGAAAATTCTTGAATTTTTGCTTTAATAGTGGGTGGTGAGAATTATGAATTGCATTAGGATTTTATTAGTTGTATAGGAAAATTCAAAAATCTTTTAAGATACATACTCAAAAGCTTATATGTCTCCACAGAAACAAATATAGGTGAGTGTTCATCCATGTTTTCTCATAGGTGTGTGATGTTTGCAAAATAGATGAGGTTATTGTCTCCAGAAGTTCTGTGGTCCCAACCACATCAAACTCAAACTAACAAATCCAGGTTTTTACATAGAGACCAAGTGAAACAGGCATTATGTTCTTCTGGGAGACATTACTCTTCTGAATTCAGCATACTTGATCAAGCTAAGGCAATATAGTTACAAAATGGAGATGGTACCTGAGATCAAGGATAGAACCTTTTTTTTTTTTTTTTCCTGTCCAGAGTTGACATGGCATACCTGTCAGATGATATACCTTAACTCACTTCTGAAGTAGAGTACCTATGTAACCGTTGGGGGGGGGTGTGTGTGTGTGTGTGTAGTGCCCTGAATGAGGGTGACAATTAAGATACTGCATTTTACAGTCAAGATAATAAAGATCGTAAGGTTGCTGTCTGAATAACGATCGACATGTTCTTCCATTCTCTTGTTTTACAGGTTTCCAAGCAACAATCAGTGCTCCACATATGGTAAGCTTTAAACTTATCTGACTAGTATAGATGATTTTACAAACATCCAAATGCTTTTGAAATAAAATATTTATCCTAGCAAATTTAATGAACAGTTGATTGCAGTGATGCTTTTGTGAACTGGCTAGTAGGAGGGCACAGAGAAGATCAAGCCAGACTTTTCTTGGAGGTGCACAGTGATAGGATGAGGGGTAGCAGACAAAAAAAATGCAACATGGAAAATTCTGATTAGTTTCTAGGGTGAAAAGAAAAATTCACATTGAGGGTAGTCAAGCACTGGAACAGGTTTTGCAGATTGTGGAAGTTCTGTTCTTTGATACACAAGCTGACTGGACAGGGCTCTAAGCAGCCTAATTTAGATTACCCCTGTGTTGAAAGAGGGTTGGACCACAGGATTTCCAGAGATCCTTTCCAACCTAAATTACTCTGACTCTCTACAATTTATAAAAATACAAGAATTCAGGAGTGAACAACAGTGATTTCTGTGGTATGGTATTGCTGTAATGCTTTTAATTCTTCGGATGGGAAAAAAAAAATACCGTACTGAGATGCAGTTTTTTTGCCAAGTGGTTTGAGACCAGGGCATTCATGACTGAGCATTAAGAGGGGATTTCAATGCATAAATCTAGCACAGACATAATTTTTCTGTGTTTCTTTGAGATGGAGGGTGAATAGAAGCATATATTTTGTCCTTGCAATGTTTGGAAAGTGTCAAAAGTGAGAAAATAAGTATTAATTATGGTTTCAAAATTTTAACTCACCTAAGTCATTATCCTTGAATTATCCTATGCTTAGCACTAGTAGTATATGAAGTGTTAGAGCAAAAAGAACATGTATCCTCTAAGCAAATGTTAACAATAAGTGTTCTAACAATAAATGTTCTAATAATTTCTGTTTTCTGGGTGTGATGGATTAAGCTGTAAGAGCGTTGTAATGGCTATCTCTGAAACATGAAAGAACAAATTGTTTTTTTAGTGGGTGACCTAAGCTTAGTTTGTGTACTAGTCCGCCATGTAGGAAAGCAAAACTGTTCACGAAGTGTGTCTGTAGACATTTCGTATATGAGCCTGGCTATCTGCCTTTGTTAAAGACAACCTCTTTTTCCTACTCTTTGATTCAGCAAGTGTGCACATAATACAAGAGGTAGTTTTAATAGCCATTTTCCTCCAAAGCTGCCTTCTTCCTATCTAGCCTCTGTCCCAACATATTCCAATGTATAGAGCACAATGATAATCTAAATTCTTTATGGGCCATATACTGCTGGAACAGTAAGAACCACCAGGCCTGAAGAGAATTAAACTGATTTATGGTGTCTCTCCCAATAACTGTATCTAAATTGAGTGTGCTAGAAGCTTGAATGGTCAGATGAGTTTCTCTCTCTCTCTCTCTCTCTCTCTCGGGGGGGTGGGGGGAACCCCCCCCCCGTGCCCCCCCCCCCCCCCCCCAATTTGTTGAAGTCAATGAAATAGCAATGATTATATCATGTAGTTAACTCCTGCCCCCTTTTTTGTAACAGAAAATAATTCTGAAATTTCTTACTCAAATCCTCAGTGCATTGCCCAAAATCACTGAAGAAATGAACATATATTGGGTAAAATAGACACTTAAAATATTTTTAAGTTTTCTGTCTCCTTCTCTTAGCATGCCTATGCTCTTGAACTTCTGTCCGATCAGTTACATGAAGGAGCCAAAGCACTTGATGTAGGATCTGGAAGTGGAATCCTTACAGCCTGCTTTTCGCGAATGGTGAGATACTTAGTTTAATCACTTGACCATCAGAACTGCTTGAACTGCAGCATAACTCTGCGTTAAAGGTGTGTGGGGGGGAGCAGCCTTCATACAGTGGACTGATGTAGATTATACAGAAAATAATTTACTCTCCTGGGTGTGGTTAGTACCCATTTCTTACCCTAGCTGATACTAGATGGTTGAATTAAAGGGTCCAGTAAATCATGTGGTGGTGAAGAAACTGCCTAGAAGGGAAGTTGTTTTTCTTGATTACATTTTATTGGTTGTTTTATAGCTTGAAGGAAGGAGATGTTTGTCTTGTTGAGCTCAATTTTTACATTCTCTTGTGTGGCTATGACTGTTCTCATTGTGATCAATTGTCATGTCTTACTGCTATGATGAGAGCTTAGTGAGACCTAAAAGAATCCTATTTCCATAGGAAAATGTATGTATATAAATTGTCTTTTAATTTAATCTTTTTTTTTTCTTGTTACTATACTGTGTGAGCATCAGTACAAGTATCAATTTAATCTTTTCTAAGTTGGATATTAATTTATATTCTTTTTACATCTTTTCCGAGTAACTTAATCTCTGGACAGTTCAACCTATATGTAAGGAACTCTCTGTGGTTCCACCCTATCTTACATCAGGAAATAAAGATGAAAAAATGGGGTTTATGATGGCTAGTAACTACAGTACTGTTAGACTAATTTATGTAGTGGAATGTAATCAGTTCTTCCTTCTCCATTCCAGTACTTTATCATTGCTTTATAACTAGCAGAGGCCTTCATTAAAATGCCAACTAGATTTTTTTTTTTTCCTTGTCTTTGTGAGAAGTTAATTTGGAATATGGTGATGCATGTGATAAATTCTCATATGGGTTTTTTTGCTACTTAGTTTTCTGTTTCCAAGCACTGATCTGCTAGAGTCTGCAATCACTTCTGGTTTCCTGTGTTAAGAATGAGATAAGAATGTTTAGGACTGGGCAATGCACTAGCGAAAGTATTTAGTTTTTTTTTAAGTGCTAGCTGTCATATTTAAGAAAAAAAAATTGTAGTTGAAATAAGTTAACCAAGCTGCAGTTTAGAGGAAATCTTAAATGTCACTTATTCAACTTTCTACGTATTTTTGGTCTAACTTTGTAGTCAATGATCAAGTGTTAGTAGCATGCATGGGAACTCCAGTCCTGCAAGTGTTAAAACTTTTGTCAAAGTTATGTGTATTTCTCACTAAAAAGTTATGAATGCATAGAGGAATAGCCATTTTAGATAAGACGTGATAAGATGTGGCTGTGCACTTTTTTCTTTTAAAGCAGCTATGTAAGAATAGCTGAAAACATCTGCAGAGAAGTCAGAATTACCACAGAAAGGGAATCTCTTTCCAATTTTGCTGAAGTTGATCACGCAATCTTTTTATTGCCATATGAATGTCATGTTCCTCTTCTGAATCCTCCTTGGTGGTATGCTGTGGAATGTCTTACAGACACGTGTTTTGTGAAACGTTAGATAAATGCTTTTGTTCTGTTTGATAGCATTATTACTGTGCAATACAGATCTGGCTTCATCCACTTGAATGAACGTAGATAAGACAATATGTACTGCTCTGACTTTCTTTCTCTGTAAAGTTCTTTCTAACAGTAACAAAAGCTTGAAAGAAGTGTATTATAGGGAATGATGGTAAAGTGTTTTGCTATCAAAATTCAGTCGAGGATGTGCTAACTGGATCATGTGGATGTTGCTTCTCAGTCTACTTGATCTGGAGTGAATAGCTCACATTTGCAGCACAAGTATCTGAGTGCACATTGATGTCGTGACGGCTTTACTCCTACAATGATAATCTAATTTGTGGTACTTCTGGGAAAGCTTTATGTTTACTTAGACTAGTAAAGCATCTTCAAGACTTTTGTTTGGGTTTTCATGTTAAATTGCTGTGATAAAGTTATCTACATAGCATACAACCTTAAACAAGTTTATTCACTTTTAAAGGTTGCTGGCAAATTAAATTAATTGTAGTTTTCATCCTTTAAGTACCGGAACTATAAAAACAGTGGGGTATATTTTTGTTCCAGACAGACCATGGAAAATCCCCAAAATTGTGCCATTTTGCTATTGTCTCAATTGCACACACTTCAAAGTTCCAGGGTAACAGAGGTAATTGATGAGGACTCAGAAATGGAATAATGGACTGTGACATGCAGCAGGAGGTTCTCTTACTTTATATCAGGCTATTTCATGCTATGACCATTTTGCTAAATTTTAATTTCTGTGATGTTACCCTTTGGATTATGCTGGATCTTTTGTCAGCTTCTGGTACAACTGACTGCCAGGCATTCGTCCAAATAGTAGCCTGTGGCTGTCATGGCGAAAACTTGCCTTATGCTGTTTCAAAGGCTAGGCTGGTGGTCTTCCACTTGAAAAAGAAGAGGTAACACTGCTCTTTGGGTGTTTTTTAGCACAGGACTTGTCTGTAATAAAACAGAAAAAAAATCACTATGATATCGATAACCAGTTATTAATTTTCCATGTCTTAGCAACATTAAAATGTAAGATACAGAAACATAACTAAAGCATTCCAATGTGTCCCAATACAAAGTTGTATGACAACATGGGCTGCTAGGACATACTCTGCCATTGTGTACTTTGAGCTGGATCCTGTTAAAAATGGTCAGATTTTAAGATTTGGATTCTTTCTCCAAAATTTGAATATTTTTTCTGGACTAAAGACACAACTCGAGAAGAAATACCTGTAATGGAAAAGTTTTTGTTAATAGGCCTTTTTTCCCCTCAGAATACACGGGTCTGTTGTGACCTTTTGTGAGTGATGAGCTCTCAAAAGTTCCACTCTTCCTGTGGAAGAGAGCTGTAAATCTGAAAGTAGATTCATGTATGCAAGGGTAGGTGGAAGGTAGTTTGTTCCTGACTGTTACTTGCTGCATTTGCTTCTGAAAGAATAGGACTCTTGAGATAACTTAGAACAAAATGCATGACTTAATGTTTTCCTTGAAGTGAGGCCTTCTCTAGAAAAACCTTAATCTTTAAGTTTATTCAGCATGAAAGGAGATTAGTTCTAGTCTTTGTCCTTGAAGTTGTTACTTTCTATTGCAGGTAATGCAAACACTCATGATCGAATTTAACTTCTAAAAACTCAAAGAAGAAATCTCGACTGATAGTATAACTTAATTGAATCACATCTCAAAAAGATGACTAGGACAAGCATTTATAAGACTGTACTGACAAACTTTAATTACCAGTTGCTTCTAGCAGTCAGGATGTGTCATTCTAAGCAGTAGTTTTAATAACATTGGGAAAATATACTACCACTTTACTGGTTTTGTTTTTATTTGAGAATGGGCTGAGGACATAGAAATACTCGTACTATAAATAAATAAAAACTAGCAGAAATTATTCAACTGTATATTTTTATTCCAGGTTGGTCCCAAAGGACAAGTTGTAGGAATTGATCATATCAAAGAACTAGTAGATGACTCAATAAATAATGTCAAAAAAGATGATCCCACATTGCTGTCTTCAGGAAGAGTGAAACTGATTGGTGAGCATCAGACTGATATACTTACTAATTAAACTGATATTCTTTCTAGCAGCTGGCTGAAACTGACTGGAATTGGATGTGATTAAAAATTCCAATTTAAGAAGTCAAACCAAAGAAAGAAGAGCCAAATGAAAATTTAAAAATCCAAGTCATCTTTAGGCCTTTGGAAAATGTCATCTTCATACAGTTTTGAGAGTATCACTTCTGGTAATCTTAAAGAATATGTAGTCACTCTGTTAGAGAATCTTAACAGAGAAGTGTTTTCCAGTGAAAATACTTCACATGATGGTCTGATATGTTAAATTTGCTATTTAAAACTGGGTTTGAATGCACAACTTTTCTTGAATAAATGTACTGCCATCTAAATTGAGTGTTTTAACAAAGTCTTCATACTTCTGATACAGTAATTGAGAAAGCTGCACGCAAAGATTCGAGTGGAAAAAGTACTAGATTGAAACAAACTTCAGTGATGCATACTGCCACTTGTTTTTAAAAAAAACAGTGTTTGTGTGTTAGGGAAGTGATTAAATGACACCAAACTCCTTTAACTCAGAGTTACTGAGAGGAAGTAATGCTAAAATTATACAAGGACAGTGAATTCTTTTAAATAATAATTATTTGACTAAAAAGAAAGTTTTGTTTTGTTTTTTTAGAAGATGCAAAGCTGGCAGGAGGAAAGCATTCCCTTCATTATCATTCTGTTAGGTTTAAAAAGAAGTTGAAGGTCTAGATTATTTTGAGGTTTCTTCCAAAAGCGCTTGGAAAAATGATTATTATGTGATGTTTGGCTCTTACCTTAATTATCATTTTGATTCTTGGTCTTTTTTTTTAAAGGAGGGACTTTTCTAAATCTTTTTTTAAATAAGCCAATCAACACAAGTACTTGTATGTGTGTATAAAATGCAGAGTCCCTCACTGAAAACACTTACGCCTTAAACTCTCTTGGAAAAGAAATTATAGTGAGACTGTTGGGGCTGGAGAGGAGGAATGGGGGGATAATTTTCATTGTTGCTGTACAAGAGCAATTTGGACTTACGCTTCTGGTTATACCTGAAACAAGCTCTGATGCTCTTGGGAGTCTAGAATTCTAAGTAAACACGATCATCTATATTATGTTTGACTGTAGCAGGATGACTAAGAGACTTCTGAATAGTTCTGTTGTGAGGTACATTTTAAAAAAAATAGAGATGGATTAGTAGCACTTTTGTGAATTAGGTGAAGAAGAATGTTGCAACTGTGCTGGATTCCTGGGAGCTCTTTGATGTGGAGCTAGAATCCAGACAGAGCTGTTTTTTAAAACAAACAAAAAAAACCCAAACACCCCCTCCCCCCCGCCCCCAAACACACAAACAAAAAAACCCTGAAAACCCAGGGCTAATTGGTGATGGGAATGGTATGAATGAAGACTAGGTAAGTCAGTTACTGGCTTTTGACAAATATGCTTCAAACATTCTCCATTGCTTTGTCACACCTCAGATACGCCATAACTGCGTTTCAGAAGCATCAGCATTATTTTGGGGTGTCTCAGTAATAGAATTGCACTGAGAACTCGGGAATAGGTGTACTTAGGGTATATCTATATTAGTTTGTGGGGTTTGGGCTTTTTTTTGGTGTAGTTTGTTTTGTGTTCTGTTTTTTCTTAAAATCAGGAGGGTGCCTTTGAGGTGAATCTCTCAACTGCTTCCACTTACCACGTTTTGGCTCATGTGAGAGTAGTCCTGGAGAGCACGAACTTTGATTCCTTTTGAATGAAATTAGACTGGATTATGTGCTCTGAGAAGCAACCAAATATGTTTGATATGTTAATGGATATTAAGCCAGTAAGACTAGAACTAGACCAGAGCGATCGTTCTGAAATGCATATGTTGCATGGACATCAGGTTCTCAGCAAAAACTGTTCTGCTGTACAGATCTGCTTCTATTGTACAGCACTCTTTGCTGATGCAGACATAGCTAGAGGGAATGAGGGTATTATAACCACAGTGCAGTAGTTTTCTTCTGTTTCTGTGCTCATGCTACAACTCTGTGTGAAACAGGTCTGTGTAGAGACGCTGAAGGCCTGAGTTCCATGATCAGCAGATCAGGTCTAGGGTCAAAAACAAGCTAAAAAATCCTTTTATGTCAGAAAGTCCTGACACTGCTTCCCCCCTTATCACTACCCATCACTCACCACTGTGATTACTTCAGTAACAGGCTGCATGTAACTGGAGATCTCAGTAGGATGGGTGATGTTATTCAGCATGTAAGCACAAGCTCAAAACTTGGGCTGCTGTTTCCCCTTGGACATTGAATAATGTAATAATTTGTATCACATTGAATATATGAATGCTGACTTAACTATTTTTTTTTACCTTCTGGATCTCTAAAAGTGTGTTCCCATTATGGGTGGATATATGCCTGCCTGCTGTAGCCCGGAGAATTTTTGTGGGTGTTAAAAGGGAAGAGCCACGCTGTGCTTGATGTATATAAAGGAGCATGATTTTGTGTGTGCATGTGTGTGCTGATTCTGAAGATGGTAGCTTTGGTTTGGACTATTGATTCTAAGAGCAAATAGTTAGATGTTCTGGGTCCTTTTTACCACTGTCAGTGAAATGATAAGATGTGCAGAAGTCACATTCAGACTTCTCTGGATGGCACACGAGGTGATGCGTTCTTCAGAAGACAACTTAGCAGTTTCTTTCACAGCTGTTTCTGCAACTTAGCAATCTCTTCTGCTTTTGCCAGCTGTACTGGAGACCACTGCTTCTAATGCCTACAGCTGCATCTTAGGGAATGAGGGTTTGTCTCCCTGTGTAACTAACAACGTGCAAAGCAATATCTGTACGTTTGAGCTAAAGAAGTCTTTCTCCATTGCCTTCTCTGATGGAACAGTGGCTTAATGCAGTAACACAGCACTACTTCCTCTTTAGAGGAGGTGTACAGTGCTACTAAGCAAATACAAATTATATACTTAACTGCATTGAAGTGGTTGTTCCAATAGAACCCACTCTGGCAGAGTCAGAGAGATTAAGCACTGGAAGTACTGGAACTTTCATCCTCATTACTGGCCACAGTATTAAAAGCTGACTTGGTGGAATTGGTATTGATAGGCATGAGTTCTCTTGAAGCATTGGTAGTTCTTGCTTGGCAGCTTCTGCCTGTGGCCGTTGGTTGGAGCTTGTGCTGGTCAGAATTCATGACACGAGAAAATAAGTCACTGAGCTTTAAGGGGCTTCTCAGCTACTGGGGAAACATGCTCTCTTCTTATAGTCCTTAAGCTTTGGGTGTAGAAGGTCTTTGCAGGGTCTTGTTTCAGGACCTAATATGAAAGATGACAAACTCCCCAATTTTAATCATTTCAAGGAGCTGTCCAGATCTTCCTGTACACTCTTGGATACTTAAGGGTATTGTTACTGTGGCCCTCCCTATCACTGAGGTCAAAACGAAACCTCCTATGGCCACCATGTGTTCTTCCTGCCTTGTGAGTTGTTGGAAGGCAAAAAGTTCACAAATTTTCAGCCTATGGCAGGGGCTTGGAACTTCTTTTGACTCATTCAGCCTTTTAATTAACCTGTGATAATAGCGACTGCACAGGAATCGAAGCTCGGTCTGAAGACAGGAAACCCAAACAACTACTTCTGCTGAGCAGAGGACTATGGTTCAATAGCCTCCTTGCTTTTTCTTCTTGACTGATTACAGGGACTTCGGCACTCGTTGAGTGTGAATTTATGGATGGTTTAGCCTCATTTTACTTCTTCTGTTCCTAAATAACTCCAGAGACAACTTCCCTATCTTGCTTTAAATTTCCCGTTGGTTTCCTGTAGGTACTGTGGATACCACATTCACATAATTTTCTTTCAAAACTTAACTCAGGGTCTAGTTTAATTTTCCACATTTCAGTGGCTTAAAAAAACCCGATCTGTTCCCCTTTGATCATGCATAACTGAGATGGTATGAGACATCTGTGATAGCGTGCTTCTCCATGAGTTCTCCACCAAAGCTGAAGCTCCATCGGCAGCCCTCTGAGTAACTTAATTACTCCTAACATCTTCCAAGCAGCCACCTGGAGCTTTAGCCACAGGTCTGACCTGGCTACCCATGTTAGTCCAGCAATTGTCTGCAGGAAGGATAGTGAGACCCATCTGCTGGCAAAGGGGGACCCGTGGGGATTAGCGTGGTACTGCATTAATGTATGAATGTAGGTGTGGACTTTCGTTCCAACCCATAGTGCAGTTATAGGTGCATAGTCCATGTGAATACTTGCTTTGTCTTTTCCTTACCTTTGGGTTCTACTGATATGTGCTTCTGAGATTTAATGCTTTAGACTTAATGATTTGCATTATATTTAGGAATGGTGCGTGTGAAGGCAAGGCAAAGTAAAAGCCTATGTTCTAAGAGGGTAAATGAGGGGAAAAGTCACCTGCATTGCAATGGTGGGGCACGTAAATACTTAAGTGTCTTTTCTGGGTGGACCACGTGTCTCCAAGAACTTTTGGTATAAATCCATGCTTTCTAACTTCAGGTGCTTCAGTAATATTTCATATCTTTTATAAGTGTGTGTGTATGTACATATGAGGGTGTTTTGTTGCATCTATTTTACAATTGTGTTAATATTTTTAAACTGACTTCCTCATGTTAGTACCGCTCAGCAGAATTTTAGTTGAAATCTGAGCATAGCCTTTTATCTACCTATAGATATGGCAGATCAGCTGTTTTCTCCACTCCTTTTGAAAACATTAAAAAAAAAAAAGTGTTTTCTTGCAGTGGGAGATGGAAGAATGGGATATGCAGAAGAAGCTCCCTATGATGCGATTCATGTAGGAGCTGCAGCACCAGTTGTGCCCCAAGCAGTAAGCCTTTATGTTTTATGTGTGTGATTCAGTAATCTCTTAGCTGTAAAGAACATTTTATGTACGTATATACGTAAAATACTTGGTCGACTTGCACTGCTGGGAGTATCAGTGGGCAGGGTGGTATTACTGCATGGTGTGGTTTTTTTGTTTCTGTTATGATTGGGCTTCCTGTTGGTTTGCAAAAGCTGTATGTTCTAATAACTCTTCCTTAAATAAACATATTTTAAAATGGTTTGTGCACAACCCTCTATTACAACAATGAACTTGAGCATTTTATTTAATAAATTAATTTGCTTTTATCAGACATTGAATTACAAAATTTAAGTATTTGTTTCCCAGGGTTCAAGGCATAGATCCTGTTGGAAAAGTAATGTGCTCAGCTGGAAATACAGACAATGCCATGTGTTCGTAGCTTTCAGAGTGGGTACAGGGCAGCTCTTACAAGAGAAGCTGGAGTAACTAGGGTCTTTAGAGTGTGCATACATGAAGTCCATTCCTGCAGATAAGATTTTTTTTTCTCTTCCTTTCATCAGGTGAATGGGAATATATAGCATGATTTTAATATGCTAGATACCAGTTAAGTTTTTTTTAAATCTGAATCTTAGTGAGGGATAGTGAAGGACTGGAGGTTTGAGGTGCTATAGACAGGTTAGACATCTCCAGACGTTGGCCATTGTTTTATTTTTTTGTTTTATTTTGGGGTGGGGGTGTGTGTGGGTGTTCCAAGCAAAGTCTTGACAGATGACAATTAAAAAGGTAATTTAAAGCTTATTGGCAAATGAAACAGTGCTTAATTATAACTTCTGTTAGTAAGGGATTAAGATTTTTTTCATGGTGTCTGGGAAGTACTGAATTTTCCTTGAGACTACTGTGGTTAGCCTCCTTCTTTAATTATGAAAGCAAAAAAAAAATCCAAGCATTTCTTTCGCGTATTCTGTTACTTGTCACTTACCTTAGTCATATTCATATATTTTAGACTAGTTTCATAAAATGCTGTTCTATTCCCAGAATGAAAGAGGAGCTGTTGGGTAGTGAGTGTACTGTAGACAACTTAAAATTATTGCAGAAAGATAAATAAAAAAAAAGTCACAAATCTCAAATCTTATTCTGAAGGCTTAAGGGGAGATCAGTTACCCCAAAAATGTTAGACAATGGGCCTGTACTGATGCACAGTAAGTATCAAACAGTTAAAACTGGCAGTTTAAAAAGATAGAATCTACTGTAAAAATAATTTGTGATTTACATATTTTTCCCCTCTTACGTAGAAGCTAAAACTGCAGCCAACGCAGTGAATACAATTACTATTTTACCATCTTTTGGAATTATATGAAATTATTGTGAATGTTTCTGTCATACCAGTTGTTTACCATGTTATTGTGATACTCTCATTTTCAGTGCATTTTCTATTTTTCCTAATTGAAGTAGTTATCTACTGCATAATAGCAGATAGATAAATTGTGGCAAAGCTATTAATCTAATGTAAGAAACTTTGGATCCAGCTTCTCTGAAGTGGCTGGTTACATTCTAATTTCTGTGTTGTGTTCTAGCTTATAGATCAGTTAAAACCTGGCGGAAGATTGATATTACCAGTTGGTCCTGCAGGGGGAAACCAGATGCTCGAACAGTATGACAAACTAGAAGATGGCAGTGTCAAAATGAAGCCTCTGATGGGAGTGATATATGTGCCTTTAACAGATAAAGAGAAGCAGTGGTCCAGGTGGAAGTGATTTTCTGTTCCACTTACTTCTTCCACACACGTGCAAGGTGAAAGGGTGTGAATTTTAAGCAGATAGACTGCAAGGCCTGCCTTTGTTGCTGTCATTGCTTTCTGCTCCTCCATACCATGAAAAGTGACTCAGTCTGCATTACTACATCACCAAAAGGAGGTTATGCTAAGTTTGAGTTAATTTAAAAGCAGAAGAAAAATATTGCATGGGTTGCACTTTCTCTTTTGGATATGTTTTCTTTAGGTTTTGGTGTGTTGAAGTTTCTTATTTGTTGTTTTGAACACCGTGTTTTCTAAATTTAAAATGACCTTTTCATGAACGTTTTATGACTAGCTTGCCCAGTAATTAGGGTAAAGTGTAAAATACTACTTAAGAATAAATATTGTTTTGTCCTGTAAGTTAGTGGTAATTGGATGTTCATTTTTTATTTTTCGGAAATGTCACAAATGAAGAAAAACCTTTGTAAAATCCTTTTGGGGGAAATGTAGATAATCTTGTGAGGACTTTCCCCTCAGCCTCCCAAGTAGCAGAAAGTGGAGAAGGTAATCCCTTCTTCCCTAAAGTATAAATGTAGTTGAGTAGTGTTCAGAAAACTTTCTCAGACATTATTAAAAGTCTGTCATCTGTCTCTGATGGGGATGTATTTGTGTTTGCCAACACAGTAAACTCTAAAGGCCTTTCTAGAGCTAGTAAACCTTCCAATTTGCTGAATTGAGTGGCCAGTAACATAGACATAACACAGCTGTCAGCTTAAACCGTGCTAGGCATTCGTGTGGGAATGAACAAAGCAGCAGTCCTGTTTTGCTTCCTGGCAGAAAATGCTTGTGAATGTATTATCTGCATTAATGAAGTGCGTAGATGTATACTGAGTTCTGAAAACAACTTCTGAGCTTTATAACTCCTAAATTTAGATTTTTGGGTTTTTTTCCCCTTGATATTTTGGAGTATAGCCTGTGATTTGGATACATGAATACTTAGAGTTTAAGCTATCAAAATGTTCATAAAAAGTACAAATAAAGCAGTTTGCATTACTGCTGCCTACTGAAATCTCATTTCAGCGTTTCTTGGATTACTGTATAGCCACCATGTACAAATTACTCTTAGAACAGCTTTAATGAGTTACTGCTTAGTTCAAAGCTTGTGAAGCATGCTCACTATTCATATGTTTTGTATTTGTTATGCAAATTAATACTTTGGCCTCGAATATTGCCAGTATTCCCTCAGCATGGTACTTGGGGGTTTCCTGCCTCTTGTCAGGCTTTGGAAGTCTTGCTTTGTGGTTGGTTTCCTCCTCTGGCAAATGTGGTGGACTTGTTAAAGTTTGGAGTCCATGCTCTGCTTACTCCAGAAAAGAGAAGTATTCTTCTTAAACCTTCCTTTTTCCAGAGAGGTTTCATAGATTTTTTTCTGCATTTTCACCTGATCTGATTATAGTAGCAGCTGTGTTTTTTCATAGCAGCAACATGTGTTCTTTTAAGTTTTTATTTATTAAGTGTTTATTGAAGGGTTTCTGGAATGGCACTGGTTATCCTTTGCTGCTGGTGAAGGTGGTGTAGTGTATTAAGGACTAGAATTCTAAGGTCTTTGCATCTCTTCTGAGCAGTTTTGTATTTCGTTTTCTCTGCTAGCTCAGGAAGAAGTAATAGATTGTCTTTGGGCCTTCTTCAATCATGAGTATTGGGGGATTCTTTTCCCCAGACTTTCTTGCCAATTCCTGTTCTTTTCTGAAATACTTCTTGATTTTATTTATTTTTAAGTGTTAAGAATGTACATTGGTGTTATCAGAAAAGGTAAGTGCTTAGCCTGAAAGGCTTAATCACTACAGTGGTATAGAGGCTTTTTCTTGTTATGTACATTTAAATTTGGTTCAGACTTGGAAATCTCTGCTAAAGGAAATCTCAGAAGTCCACTTCTTGTGATTGTTTTTTCTTTAATTGTCCTTTTTGTGATCTGAAGACAATTCCTATACCCTGCTGAAGGATAGCTGCCAGTGCACTGCTGACCTTACAGGAGGTCACAACTGTCTTTTTCTGTTGGTTTTCCTTATTGGTCAGTCCCAAGTGTATGGTCAGCCAGCTGCTGCTAAGGAAACTCCTAATAGTAAATCAGCATCTGTTACCTATGCTAGCATCAAAGATGAAAGAGAGATTTTTTTTTTTCTGCACTTTCAATTTACCTTTCCTAAATTGTTGATGACCTGTTAGCAGAGATCAATTAAAGATGGTCTTTCAGAGGAGTCTCTAAGTCTTTCTGTAATAAAGAGCTGTAGTGTGTGAGACTCTAGTTGTAAATATGAAATTCATTGAACAATCATCTTTTTTAGAGTAGCTCAAAAATCCTGTGTGTTTAGCTTATCATTCTCTTAGTTTACATTATGTTATGCAATTTCATTCCTAATGCAAGTAACTGTTTTATCATGTTAAGAATTGGTGTCCCTTCACAAAATACAATCGATTAGGCCAGCAGCATTTTCCTAGGCCAGCAGACCTGGCAAGAAAGAAGCCACTTGAATTTTTGCTTAGCCATTCATATGTTGGAGAAGTTAGTACAGTTCCTTACTACGGCTGCAAGGTGCTCTTTACAAAGCAGCATGACAGTGACTTGGTCTGTAAGTGGTGTTTGAGATCAAACCTACCTTCAGATGCTTTGCATCATTCTTCATTATGTAAGACTGGAACTTCTAGCAAAAGAAAATCTGGACTAGCTGGAACAAGAAGATTCCTTGGATTTTGATAAATTGGTGTTGTGGTGCTAAATAAAGAATCTTACTTTGTGAATATTGTTGGATTTCTTTAAATTTAGTCCATAGTACTCTAGTTTGGGTTCAGCTGCAGTAGTATCTTCAAGCTCCAAACATCAGTGAGAATCTTCTCAAATGTGTCTCCATGAGACATTTGGAAGTAGAATATGCACCGGAACCCTCTCTCTGGTACAAAATGAAATGCATTAGTGTACCTGAGCTCCAGCAGCTGGTGCTCACTTATGTGATTATGCTGGTAAGGATGTTTATCCTTTCACATAAAACTTCCCAATTATTAATTGGGTTTTTTTCTTGTTGATAAGTAGGGAGGATAGAAGACCTCTTGTGCTGCACAGTTGAGAACACAGCTTATTGGCTACCTTATTGGCAGGTCTTGTGGAATTAGGATCTCTCTGGTTTTACTTCTCTGTGACAGTTCACTTACTACTTATATGGGGGGACAATTTAAAGAGAATAACAATGTAAGGAATGCTTAGCAATGAGTCTCTGTTGCAATCATGGATTTTATTTCCAAACAGGCAGCTGTTTTAAAAAGTTAACAATTTTTTTTTTTAACTTAAAATACTGCATTAGTAGAAATTATTTATAAATGTCATGCTAAATTCATATTTGCTGATAAAATACAAAATTACAATGACAGGATACCCTTTCTGAGCAAAAAATGCAGTGACTAGACTGGGGCTGTTACTCTATCCCATTTTTCTGTACATAAACCATGATTAAGCACCCTTTTGGAAAATTTATTTATTAGGAAATATTTTAATATGTTGCTGCTTAGAAACTCTTATTCAGTGTTTCAAATGCCCCTGACGAGTTAGTTGTCTAATTTCAGGAATTGTTTGCCTAGAATTCCTTTCGGCTATGCAGACTAATGATTATGGTTGAAGTTTTTTATTTGACTTCGGCAAAAAGAATCTCTGCACAAAATATTTTAGGTTAAATTTAAGATTTATATATTACGTAAAAATGCATGTGATGTAACTGATATAATAGGTTGCAGAGAAAGTTCCTTTTCTTTGTCATTTTAACCTACTCTCTCAATTTGATGATTGATGATAGCAAATACTAAATACTTTGTAACAGCACCTTTCCAGATTAAAATGCTACAAGTCCAAATATTGCATCTAGTTATCTTTAAAATTACAAAGGGAGAAATAATTGGCTGCTGAAACACTAAGTAGATACTGAAATTCAGAGTGTAGCCTAATATGAATTAGAAATACAGTGTCCGTCATGACAGCATATTTTTCATAGATGAATGATGTATCAAAAAGGGAAAGTCAAATGCTGCCTAATGACAAGAAAAATGAAATGGATCAAAGAGAGTGAGTTATAGATTTCAGATAACTTTATAAATGCTTGTTCACATATTTAATTTGAATGCCTTCCACCAAAGAGGTGGAGACAGATTGCAAAACGTAATGACTTACCTGTATCCCAAACTTCTGTTATTTCTTATTGTTGATAAGATTTGTGATTCCCCCCCACCCCCCGAACTCTGACATTTACCTGAAATGCTACCTATTAGATTTTTCTGAGAATGTTTCTTAGTTTGTTGTTAGATACCCCCAATTGGAAATGTGGAATATTCCTGTATATGTTTTTGCTGCTAGAAAACCAAAATTTTTCGAACTTTCTTAAATTTATTTTTAGAACAGAAATTTTGAGCTAATGACTTCTGAAATTTGCTTTAACTTGAGCTTATAAAGTTGCTTTGATGCCTCAATTGACAATATTAGATGAGTGATTCCCTTGCTAGAATTCCAAGGGCCTGAGAAGGACTATTGTGATAACTTAAAACCTAAATATATCTACTGCTTACTAAGCAGGAGCTACTAAGCAGATTGGAAGAAGTGCATATATGAAGGTGGAGGGAAATTACATGAGCTGTGTAAGAATCGCAGCAAATAGTCATGGCCAGAAAAAGGGACAAAAATACAAATTAATTAGTAGATCTTTCCTATGGCTCTAGAGGACAACAGGATATTTTTAATGAGGGAATGGCAGTCGTCTTTTGAGTCTCCTTTTAAGCTCTGCAGCAGGATAGATCTTTTACCACTGGGAGGATAGGCAAGCATTCTGGTTTTTACCAGTAGTTGAAACCTGGTAGATTTCAGAGCTTGGCAGCTCCTGATCCATCCAACTGAAGTTCAGATCAACTGATGCTGTTTTGCAATGTGTGCTTAAGTCTGCAAGCTGTTAGGTGGAAAGCTGAGAAGTGTAAGCTGCCTGAAGATCTCAGACTTTTCTGTAACTTTATATATATAATCCAACAGTGCATGTATAAGCTCAGCTTCTCATAACAGTAGGAAATAAATGCTGCATAATTCTAACACATACATCATGGATTGTTTTGGGCTGGCATGCTGTTGTTAGACTAATGAGCAGTGAAGAGCGAGTAAAAAATCTCTTGAGGGAAGCTGATCCCCTTAAGACAGTAAATGTTCTAATAAGCAGAATATTAAAATCTTTATTTTGAAAGTGACATCTAGGATAGAATTAACTAACAGGAACATTATTATTTGGTCAGGAATAGCTTAAAGCAATGGAAAATACCGACAATTAAAACATTGACATGTTAATATGACTTATATGAATTCTAAGTACAAATACCATTTTGTAAAAGAAAAAACAAAAAACACTTCAACACATTAAATGTGTTAGCAACATTATGCAAAAACCTTGCCAATGTCTGTGGCTGGGCAAAATTCTCATGTTTAATAGTTTCAGAGTAAATACAGGATTTTTCTTAGGCTTACAATTTCTTGAGGATCTAGGTTGGGTTTAAAGGATTAAGAATTATTTGTCACAGTAAAAGGCCAGGCTTTTACAAAGCTATGAGAGTATATGGTAGGAATCAGGATGAAAATCACATCAGCAATTAGGCCTATGAGACTAAATCAGCAATAGCCGTGGTTGTTACTTACATGTGCTTTTTGAAGATGTAAGTATTAACTGATGATGCAGCTCCTGGAAGCATTAAGGATGAATGAAGTACTTGTCCTAAATTCACCGGCACTGCATTTTAAACTGAGAATCAGATGTTAATTTATTTTTATCTGTTTAAAGTAAGCAAATACCCATTCTGTAAAATAGGCAAATATGGAGACCTTCCAAACCTTTGGCTATAAACAGATTTTTCTTCACCCCTGCCAAGATGTGGTGTTCTCCCGTTTGCTTTTTTTCTGCTTTCTGTAATTACTGCAACACTGAAGCTGTATGATTAGTACTTGACAACTAGAAGGCAGTGCAAAGTGCAAAGAATGCAAATATTTATCACTAACTAATCACAAGGTTTGCATCCCAGCTGCATTAGGTAGCAAACTAGTCATTTAAGCACCAGTTGCAGCAGCCTTTTCAGTTGCTTTTAAAATGTTTTGCACGCTGTCATTCCATGCTATGTGATTCTTGAAGGATAATGCCTTTGTAACTTTAAAGCTTTTGCTTGTGTGCATGTAGCACTGTATTTTTGTGGGTTAGTTTGCATGATAGCTGGAAATACTATTGTGTATTGAGCCAGCAATCACAGTAGTGAAGTCTTTCTTAATTCAGACAGTGTTTGCTGTGGCTAATGAGGGAGGTGCACCTGCTAAAGGAAAAATTGCAGCAAACTCACTGTGAGTTTATAGGTTGTTTGTGCCTTGGGGCGGGGGGGGGGGGAAGCAAACACTTCTGTTTGAATTTTCCAACATTCATAATGGCACAGTGCACAGCTTTCAGATTTGATGGACATTTTGCATTAAAGTTAATGCTTTAGAAATATTTAAACAAATCAGTAATATAGGACAATTTCACTGTTGGAATATGGGTTCTGTGGGTTTCCTGTTTCAATGTGTATTAGATGTCCTGCAGGAACAAAAGCCTGCATTTTCTAGATTCCTCATAGTGATTTAGAGAGACCTCTTGATGCATCTTTTCTCCTGCCTGCATCTCTTTTTAACACGCACAAACCCCCCACCCCTTCCGTAACCTAGTCCCGATTTAGCATAGTTCCTTCAGGACATGATATTGTGTTCCGAGCTTTCTTGAGAGACTGCGGCTGAAGCTAAACTTGCCTTTCTGGCAGCTACAGATAATGTTTTTTTGCCAATACTCTGTCTAGTAAGTTGGCTCAGTTTCTTGCCAGTATGTAGCCAACAGAGTTTGGATGACAGGTAGCTGTGTAACTAGCTGTGTGGTGTGGGCGATGTTCATGAAAGCAAATGATCCGTTGTAAAATAGAGGGACCCGTATTTCACAATACATCGCATAATAGTATGAGATGATATGGGATTGCTGTTGCCTTTCCTTTGCTTTTTTTTTTTTTTCTTAAATGCTTGAAGAGACTTCTGAGGTTTTGCTGATGTGCTTGAGCACTTAAATGTAATCTGATTCAGTATCAAAACTTTTCAACTATGATTTCCAAGGGGAGGAGAAACATAACTGCATGTGTTTTCTTTCTACAGGGATGAATTGTAAAAGCTACATCATCTTGACCCAAACATAGTGTTACAGTGGACTGCTCATCTCCAGTTCTAAAAGCTTTTTGAAAACCAACAGCATTGCAGCTTGTTTTGGACTTCGTTATACTGTTGTTATCAGCATGGAAAAGCGTGGTGTTTGTTTTATTTTTTTAGATGCTCAAGGCAAATCTGATAAATGGTGGAAAGTTTTATGTGGGCACTGTTTTATTTAACATGCCTTTATTTTACTTTCATCTGTTCAAAGTGAATTTCTGCAAAACTGCAGATAAAGACCTATAGCTTGTGAACTCTAATTTTGATGGGGGTACTTGAACACTCACTTCTCTCAGCTCCTGTGTCCCTTGGTAAAACTGCTTCTGTGCACCTTACGACACTACATAGGTAATACCAGGTTTTCTGTGTTCCGATGTCTGCTAGATGCTACTAAAAGGAGATGAACTTCCTTTTTAAGCTTTTGACATGGTGTCATAGACTAGCATGTAGTAGATACAATCAGCTGCTTTATTACCTTAAAACCAGGCATTTGTATATATGAAACTTCAAGACATCAGGGGTGGGTGGCCGCTCTTCTCAAACATTGCTGTTCAAGTTGGATATAACAGACGTGATTTTCCCTTTCCTTCTAAAATTCATCAGTGGAGTCTTGAAATTCTGTTTTGGTTTATAGCTCACTACTGATGTGATGCACATGGATTTAACTCCGTAAATATGATGTAAGCTGTGTCCCAATCACTGAACAGTTTATGCAATGTTGCTTTGCCAAATAAAGTTAAAAGCAAAAGGGGCGTTGTGTGCTTGCGTGGAAGATTAGGATCAGTATGTAGTAGACTACTGAGATATGGATTGCTAGATTCTTTATTTAAAAAAAAAAAAATCCACTTTGGTCTTGAAAGAACGTTGGTTTTGGCAAAGCCATTTGCTGTATTAACATTCTCATTTTTCTAACTGGGCACCCAGGAAAAATTCTGGCTTTTTAGAAAGTGAATTCTTAATTGCTGTACAAGGAAAGCATGATACATGCAGAAGGAATAACGAATCCTGGACTCCTAAGTAGAGATAAAGATGCAATTCTTCAATTTTCATATAGAAGCATAGTTGGAAGGCTATAAACCTTTTTTCTGCCCCTGGTTTTCTGTTTTGGTACTGTAAAATGTCAACAGCAAATTGCAAAGCAGCACAGTAAGGTGGGCTGCTTTGGGCAAGGAGGGCAGTGTGTCTTGAGTCATCTTGTTCAGATTCAAGCAACCAGGAATTAAAGTAAACAGCATGTTATTGTTATTTTCTTTTTTTAATGGTAAAAAGGATTATAGAATAAAAGAACTTGTATAAAACAACCCATAGTGATCACTGCAAAAATATATTTGACTTTTTGTGGTGGAACAGCAATAATTTTGTGATAGGATTAATCCCCGAAAGCATAAAGGTTAAAATTCAAAGGCCTCTGAATATGAAAGAGGAACATTTTAAGTAAACTTCCTTTTGAAGGTCAGCCCCATCCTATTCCTGTGTAAAAGATACGTATCAATTTATTTAGATGTTTGGAAGTTAATGTACCACCTCCTGATCTGACTGCAGCCTGGGAGCACATGCACAAAGGTTAAACTTATAAAAGAATTAATATAGCCTGTATTCTAGAAAATACAATTCAGAAAAACCCACTTGCGTCTGACAAATTTGTACTAACCCACAATCAACTGTGAATCTAGTTCGTGGTGTTGAAGTGAAATATCTTAAATGATGCATGCTAATGTTCAACCTTTTGGTCACTGTATCATTCAATTTGAGTTCAGCTTTATTTACATCTTCTCACTAATTTAATCAGTTAAATGAAAGATATGAGCTCGACTGTATCCAAATTCTTGTCTCTGGACACAGTGTAATAAGCTAGCCTAACTTGGAAGAGGTGATAAAGCTGAGACCCGGCGACAACTTTTTTGGGGAGAACCACTTCAGGAGGTGTAAGACTTCAGGGACCAAGGCTGTTGGGATTAGTGCACCCGTTCCACTGAAGGGGTTGGTGATAGTCAAGGTACTCGGGCAGAAAGGAGTCTCCAGGAGTAGCATTTAGGAATTGGAAAATGAAAACCCCTCCATGATGGAGCAATGGTTCTGAAGTAGAAACTTCTTGGAGAAGAGGACAAGTTGAAATGCAGAAGATTTGAAGAGCTTGAATAAATGCTGTGTGAACTGTCTGGATTGCTACTTTGCCAAATAAAACAAATTGAGAGGAAGCTGTATCTAGGTGTCTGGTTTTGTTTGTTTGTTTTTGATCTTCACAGGACTTCACATGTCCAAAAAGAAAGCAAGCATGTATAAAAATACTGGTTTACTAAATGACCAGAACGATGTGTCTGTTCTCAGTTAATTAACGTGTTGCAGCATATGGCAGTAGTTACCAGGCCTGGTAATACCATATGGAATATAACTGGAGTTTTACTTGGCTGTTTGGAATTTCTTCTAGTTCATGTCTGTGTGTTTTGGGGGACCGGCTGCATGCGCAGTGTATGAATTCTGCCTGCCGCCTGTGGTTGAATCCAGCTAGCTAGGAGTGTGTGGTCCGCCACTTGGGAGGATCAAAGTTTATCTTTTTATAAGCGGCGCAGTGATGTTTGACTGGGTTGTCGTGATCACCTCTAAGCCAGTGCAACTTGGGAGAACGGCTTGGCTGAACAAGCGACAGTCACTCGTCCGCTTGTTTGCAGGGATCAGACAGCAGCAGGCCCCCAGAGTCTGCGCAGAGGAACCAAGAGCCCACACCTGTATCTTGAAAACCCACAAACAGCTGTGGATGCTCCACAGAGAAGAGCAGTTCGCTGTGCCGTACGGATGCTTTCTGTTTACGTAGCAGGAATTGCCTGTTTATTCGCTATTTCCATTCAAACTGGCCAGCTAACTTGAGGGCATACAGACCATTACACAATTTTTATTTTTTTTTTTTTTGGAGGGAAACTAGCGCACAGAGGGTGTGCGCCAGCGCTGCTGGTCGAGGCCACTGGGATGATTCCCGAAATGTTTTGTAGTCAGCCGTCTGGAAATGGGCAATAGCGCCTGGCGCGGGGGGCTTTGTGCGGTTGGCTCTGGAGCGCCCAGCTGGCAGCAGTTCTCTCTGCGTGTGCAGAGTTTTTGTGACCGGGTGACAAGCTCCAGGGTTTTCGAGTGTGGAGGCACTGTGGAATTAACCATCAGCACAAAGAGGTGAACTAAAATGCCCCGAGGAAAACTCTGAACTAACGCCGTCGTTCCTGCTGGAAAGAAGGGTGCTAACCCATTCTTACAACAGCGGCGTTTTCTTCCTTTTACTTGTTACTGTGCCCTAGGACGTGCTGCGTTTGATTTAAGTGCAGTTCACAGAAAGAGGATGTGATTGCAATTCCTTCTTGGTTTTGACATGAGGCAAAGGATGAGTACTGCAAACCAAGCTTGTGATTTGTATCTCTGTATTTAGATGATTTTTGAGGTGGAGCACATTATGATGCAGTTAGAAAGATCACTAATACTAATTGCCTTTGTGGAACCCTTGTTCTTTGTCCCAGAGGATGTGGAAGAGGTGTTCTGCTGAAGTGAACGAGCAGGGGTCCTGGCTCGGCAAAAAGGCGTGATGCGGTGGTGCAAGCACGCTCTGCAGAACAAAACAACCACCGGACACAAACCCACGGAGGAGAAGTGGTCCCCAAAAGGCCGCATGTGTGCAGGGGGATGCAAGAGATGATGAGGTCTGAAACTGGTCTTTTGCGTTTCAGGACGTCCAGGCTTTACACATCAGGACGTGTAAATTAGAGTTTAAATGCTGTGGTGGTATACAAGAGGTGGATTCAAGCACGGGGTTTACGTTGGTTTTGTGGGCTCATACGGTTTGCCGTTGTTGGCTCTATTTGAGTTTTTGTCCCGTCTGCTTATAATTGTGAAAGACTGAAGACCCGTTGCGGGAAGTGCACAGACACTCTTAAGGTATCATAAACCCCTTTGCCTTTACTATAATGGATACGCACTTGTGTGCTCGGAGCACCTGGTGGCGAGGTTTGGGTTTCCGCGCCTCAGCCAGGTCTGAGGAAATCAGCTTGGACTAAAACTTGGGTCTTATGCAGACAGAGATGCTATAAACTTTCCTACACGTGTCCCGTTTGCCTCCCACGTGTCACGCGTGACATACAGGGCTGCTTTCCGTTCCAGGTGTAGCTTCATACGCAGCCCAGATTCCTAACGCAGCTGATGCATTCTGAATTTTCCTGTGAAAGGCAGTTATTGTTCCCTCGCGCTCTTGGCAGGGCGTTAATGAGGTGCTCAGCAGAATGTGCTCAGGAACTAAAATCATATTTCTTTAAATTATGAATTGAATGGACATAGTTATTGCCGAAATACGTGTGGAGGAGCTCCAGCTGCCTGTTGAAAATTGCCTGAAAGCTAGAGGAAGGAGAAATGGGAAAAACTCACTGTGTGTCTCATCACACCAAACTTGAAAACTGGAAAGACTTAATCCCGTGCCTTTTTAACAAAACCGTTTTAGCAACAAGAGATTATTTTCATAGGGATTGTTGACGGACTTCCTCTGAGATCTCACTTTGATCTTTTCATTTTTCTTTGTCGTCCAGCCGTTTTCATCATATGCTTCTGAGGAACTGACCGACTATGTATTCTCAAAAACGTTCCCTGAAGCTACCGAGAAGCTGAAGTCCTATTTTCAGCCATGTTTAGGCATATGTCTGCATCTCATGTGTCTTTATTATGAACAGATTAAGTATCTTGTTTACCATGTTCTGCCAAATCCTTTTTTTGCTGTAATGGAGAAAGGGCATCTGAGGTTAATCAGTAACTTTTGTTTCAGGTGCCTTACGGACTAGGAGGATGCTCTCGCAGGCCTCTGGTCAGGGAGGTGGGTGATTTGGAGCATCTGCTTAGACCAATGCTCCGATCAGAGCTCTGGAGAGGCTCGTCTCCTCTGGCTGTAGAGGCAGCCTTGGGAAAGTCTTCTCTCGTGCATGGAATTAGCCTTCAGGGATGCTTTCCCCATAGTCCCAAATTTCCTTTGTGCTGCCTGCTTTCAAGTCCTTTCCAGTCCGGCACCCATTCAAGTTTCCTCCTCCCTCTATATCTATGTTGTTCAGTCATTTGTTTTGAATGTAGAGATCTTAAATGCATCTCTTTTTGTGCACTAGGATCTGGTAGTTGTGCAGAGCTATGTTAAAATTTCTTGCTCTGCCCTTTTTAAAACAGGATTAAACGTTTCTGTTGGCCGAGCAGCTGATGGCATCCTTGCAAGCTGTGACTCTCAAGCCTTCGCAGCCTTGTCTGTTTTATTCTCAGCCTGCTCAAAAGACATTTTTCATTGATTTATGAGTGGTTTATAACTGTCAGCCAGGAGCCTTGCAAATGCAAAAATTAAAATTCTAGCAGGTATCTTTAAAAACTTGTTTCTGAACGGGCTTCTTGTGCTGATTTCAGTCCTTCTAGACTTCTCTTTGTTTGCGTTTCAGAGCTCCGGTGCAAAGTGCGGTGCTCAGCAAGTGTTTCTGTTGTCGCACAAATGTATTTGTAGCCTTACATTCTCACTTTCTGACTTGTTTTGTGTAACTATGAGTTGAAAAATATATAGCAAAGTTACTTCTACATATTTTTTTCCCTCTAAATATTCCCTGTTTATAGCATGTTTCTCTTGTCTTACTCGGGTCAAGCCGGTTCTTTCATGGGCTCTTTTCTTCCGTACTATTTACTACGTGTTTATTGCCTCTGTCTGGTCTTTATGTCCATCAGCTCTCTCTGAATCTTTTCTAGCTTTTCGCTTTGCTTTTGCTCTTTTAGCTTTTGCCATTAGAAACGGAAAAATCCCAATTCCTGATGCTCATGAAAGCAGCAAGCGTAGACCTCAGTGATGCCTGACTGTGACTCCTGCTGGGGCTTACTAGCAAGGCTGGCTCTGGGTTCTGGGGTGGGCCATTGCTGGTGCTGTTGGTTCCTGCCTCTGACTCGCTCTCTGGGGTTCGGGATTGCAACTCTTACGCTTTATCTAGGATTTAAAAAGCAAATGGAGCGTTGCACTGACCTATTTCAGCCTTTTCGTTTTGCAAATGTGCTTTTGGAGCTGCCCCTGCTATAATCCTGCAGTGCTATGGAAAGACTACGGCAGGGATGTGCAGGCTAGGATCCCCTGCGCAAGTGGGCAGCAAGCAGCCCACGTTACGGAAAAAAACTGACTTGGAATTATGGAGAAAACTCAGGTAAGTATTGCTCGTTACTTTGAGATAATTTGTACCCTTAAGTGTACGTAAGTTGGTCTGAATGCCAGAACAACTGCAAATATAAAAAGTGGTCTAACCGGAATACATATCTTGATCAACATTAAAATACACTGACAAAACAAATGGTAATGACCTCTTCTAATACGCAGAGGAGTAATATCCACAGGTATATGCTATCAGAGCAATCAGTATACTCTGCTTATCTGTCTGTAGCATGCTGGTAGTTAAAACAGGTGGACTGAGCCTATTCCCAGATGTGTCAATAGGCACACGTCACTGTTCAGGACAGGAAAAACAGATCAGACAGACCTCAAATAAACAGTGATGATTTTCACACAGAATATCTGCCTTCTGCTGCAGGATAAACACTGTATACAACTCCCCAGCTCCTGAAGTTTGCATGAGAAGCCGTGAAAGCAGTTAGCAATGCAACCATGAAGGCAGGGTAGGAGCGGCGCCTGCTCCGAGCGCCCCTTTCCCATCAGAGAGAGAGCCCCCACCTTGGCAGTGGCTGGGAGGGGGCTACAGAAGGGGTGTCAGCAGGAGGCAAGGGCCGGCAGCAGCCTGGGGAGAAGGGGGCAGCACCCCCAGCACGCCAACACGGGTGTCTCGCCACAGCTTATTCTGCTACTGCTCAGATGTGCTCTGGCTCAGTAGTTCAGTATCACTTACTTAAAGTCAAATAGTATGAAAGCTATTAAATGAAAACACATGTTATTGAAACCGGTGTGTATTAATTACAGGAGCTGCCAAGCCAATCCGTTATTTTGCTAACTTTGTCTTGCTCTTCATCTAGCGGACGATGCCCAGGCTTTCTGGTAAGGTGCAAACTTTTTTTTTTATTTCAGTCCAGCTGTGGAGTTTGCAGTTACTCAAGAAGTAACAGGCCTCAGGCTGGTCGCACAGCAGCGACCATCGCCATCTCCCCTCCTAGAAAGAAGAGTCCCTGGGAAGACTGGCAACTATAACATCGCGACAGCTAAATCCTGTGCTGCGCTTGCTGTCTGCTGCCCTCGCTCTAGCTCTGCTTGGAGGTGTTTATTCTTGGCTGTCATACGCGAAATGCGTGGAGGTTGATTCCACTCGCAGCAGCCCAGCAGCAAAGCCTGCTGGCGGGTAAAGCCACGGGAAAGCTGAGCAGCTTCTCACGCCACGGCTGTACTGGCTGGCTCCTGCTCCATGTGGGATCTCGCTGTCGTCCTGCCCAGATGAACAAAACCAAACCTTTCGTTCTCCTGCTGGCTGCGTGCCGGAGCAATAGGTTTGGGTAATAGGAGCACCATAGGCACAGTGAGAAAAGACTACTCTTCTTGCTGCTATGGGAAGATGGTGAAGGAGAATTAGATATTTAGTTAAAACCCCAAACGAATTTCAATGATGAGAAATAATACCCCAACCAGATGAGCAGTGCGTCTTTCCTAGAAGGCTGTATTTAACATGTGGTCTTTTGGGTCTTGTGCTACTTGCCGTGCCTGCTGTAGGCAGGGGTGGAAGAGAGGCTGTGCTCCCAAGTTAGAAATGGGCACCATCAGCAGCAGGTCTCCTGGACCCGATGTAATGCTGAAGTACAAACAACCAGACTTTGCCTAAGGTGGCAGGAGGGCTCTGAGCAGGGAGCACTGGCAAGGGGGTTCCACGGGCGCTGGCACAGCCAGCTCTGCGACCGCAGTCCTGCGCAGCTCCCGTGCTGCTTGGGAGACAGGTCATGGAGGTAGGCGCCCTGTTCTTCTCAGTCTTCCTACAACGAAGCATCTCAACAACTCCCCCCACCACAGATGTTCCAGCTTCTTTCAAGGCTGTTTCACAGAGAGGAGAAACGTACTTCTGTCTGCTCTCATGCTATGGTCTCATATAGCACAAAATTTAGCTGGTAGCTGAAAATAAAGGCAATGCAAGAAATATAAGAATAAAATAGGTTTATTAGAGCTATTTTACATAAAGTAATCAAGACCGAGCAACTCGAAGAACTATTTGTATACCATGGCAATATTCTTGCTGACTCGAAGTTACTGAAGTACAAAAGACGACATACAAAAAGATGCATGCCTCACTTGCCTCTGGTTTTATTGGGACCTGTGATGAACGTGACATCCTTGGACAGTCAAACAAGATAGACAGCACGGTGTGTATATATATATATATGTATATATAACATGTACTGTACACATTTTACTGTTAACACATCTGAAGTTCACTCACATATCAATTACTTGCTCTAATTCTATGAGAATTTTGCTGGGGTGAGGGCAGGTCGCCGAAGCTTTCAGGCTTTGCAGGGAGCTATGGGATAA